ATGGGGTGCGGAAAAAGTGAAGAAATTCAATCAAGCACGGGTAAACGACGGGAGTAACTATGACTCTCCCTAGGTAGCCAAATGCCTCGTCATCTAATTAGTGACGCAAATGAATCTTGAGATTGACTCCAGTTCGATTATGTGAAGAAACATGAGAGGTGTAGCATAGGTGGGAGCTTCGCAGCGCAATTGAAATACCACCACTCCCACCGTTTCTTCACTTATTCAGTAAAGCGAAGAGCAAGGCGCAAGCCCCTTAGCAAGTTCTAGCCGATTTGTCCGCTTCAGACGGGCATCTCGCAAATGCTAAAAATCCAAACCCCGGAGCCCGCGACCAGGTCGCGTGGATGGGGTGCGGAAACACTTCTCTCTTACCTCGTTGGCAGAGGTAAGAGAGCTTTGGGCAGTCGCAGCCGAACAGGCTCCGTCGCCTCAAATTCAGACGAGCTCGACCGCGACCCGGGCTCCCCAAAAAAGGCAGGTCGCAAAAAAAAACACCGCTCGGCATCGTCGGTCATTGTTCCGATGTTGTAAGCGCCCGAGTATGTACTTAAAATACTTCTCTCTTACCTCGTTGGCAGAGGTAAGAGAGCCTCGTGGGCGTCGCTGGTCTCACTGCCTTTTAGCATTTCCCCATCGCAGAGCTTCTGGAACGTCTGCTCGGGCGGATGGCGGGAGGGACGGGGAGGGCGTTGACGACAACGCGGTCTGGCGGGTTTCAACCGATGCGTGTCACGAAGCGCCCTCACACCCGCCCCCGACCTTCTAGCTTTGTCCTTGCGGTGCAAGTACGGACGGCGAACGAAGGGGAGAGAGGAGGGCGGAGGGAACCGGACGCCATAGGCGAGAAGCGTCCGAGTATGTACTCGAAAACCTTCTCTCTTACCTCGTTGGCAGAGGTAAGAGAGCCTTGGGCAGTCGCACCCGAACAGGGTTCCGTCGCCTTAAATTCAGAGGGACGCAAGCTCGTGGGCGTCGCTGGTCTCACTGCCTTTCAGCATTTCCCCATCGCAGAGCTTCTGGAACGTCTGCTCGGGCGGATGGCGGGAGGGACGGGGAGGGCGTTGACGACAACGCGGTCTGGCCATATACGCTGGAGCCTGGGCGGTACCGGCGGCGGGTTTCGACCGATGCGTGTCACGAAGTGCCCTCACACCCGCCCCGACCTTCTCGCTTTGTCCTTGCGGTGCAAGTACGGACGGCGAACGAAGGGGAGAGAGGAGGGCGGAGGGAACCGGACGCCATAGGCGACAAGCGTCCGAGTATGTACTCGAAAACCTTCTCTCTTACCTCGTTGGCAGAGGTAAGAGAGCTTTGGGCAGTCGCAGCCGAACAGGCTCCGTCGCCTCAAATTCAGACGAGCTCGACCGCGACCCGGGCTCCCCAAAAAAGGCAGGTCGCAAAAAAAACACCGCTCGGCATCGTCGGTCATTGTTCCGATGTTGTAAGCGCCCGAGTATGTACTTAAAATACTTCTCTCTTACCTCGTTGGCAGAGGTAAGAGAGCTTTGGGCAGTCGCAGCCGAACAGGCTCCGTCGCCTCAAATTCAGACGAGCTCGACCGCGACCCGGGCTCCCCAAAAAAGGCAGGTCGCAAAAAAAACACCGCTCGGCATCGTCGGTCATTGTTCCGATGTTGTAAGCGCCCGAGTATGTACTTAAAATACTTCTCTCTTACCTCGTTGGCAGAGGTAAGAGAGCTTTGGGCAGTCGCAGCCGAACAGGCTCCGTCGCCTCAAATTCAGACGAGCTCGACCGCGACCCGGGCTCCCCAAAAAAGGCAGGTCGCAAAAAAAAACACCGCTCGGCATCGTCGGTCATTGTTCCGATGTTGTAAGCGCCCGAGTATGTACTTAAAATACTTCTCTCTTACCTCGTTGGCAGAGGTAAGAGAGCTTTGGGCAGTCGCAGCCGAACAGGCTCCGTCGCCTCAAATTCAGACGAGCTCGACCGCGACCCGGGCTCCCCAAAAAAGGCAGGTCGCAAAAAAAACACCGCTCGGCATCGTCGGTCATTGTTCCGATGTTGTAAGCGCCCGAGTATGTACTTAAAATACTTCTCTCTTACTTCGTTGGCAGAGGTAAGAGAGCCTCGTGGGCGTCGCTGGTCTCACTGCCTTTTAGCATTTCCCCATCGCAGAGCTTCTGGAACGTCTGCTCGGGCGGATGGCGGGAGGGACGGGGAGGGCGTTGACGACAACGCGGTCTGGCGGGTTTCAACCGATGCGTGTCACGAAGCGCCCTCACACCCGCCCCCGACCTTCTCGCTTTGTCCTTGCGGTGCAAGTACGGACGGCGAACGAAGGGGAGAGAGGAGGGCGGAGGGAACCGGACGCCATAGGCGAGAAGCGTCCGAGTATGTACTCGAAAACCTTCTCTCTTACCTCGTTGGCAGAGGTAAGAGAGCCTTGGGCAGTCGCAGCTTTTAGGATGTGCTACCCAAGGGACTTGGTCTCTTTTTTGCGCCTCTGCCACCGGTCCGCCGGTGGTGGAGGCTTTTTTTTTTTCCTTTGAAGTTTCTCTCTCTGTTTTAACTAATCGCCTCTGGCACCGGTCCGCCGGTGTCGGGGGCTTTTTGCGCCTCTGCGACCGGTCAGCCGGTGGTGGAGGCTTTTTTATTTAATATTTTTTGGAACTTGTTTTTCTCTCATATCTAATCGCCTCTGGCACCCGTCCGCCGGTGTCAGGGGCTTTTTTTCTTTCTTCTTCTTTCTTTGTGATCGTAACCCTAGACCCCCAAAGACTTCCCCTATCATTAAACCCTAACCCTAACTCTAGGTTAGCCCTAACCCTTACACCTAGCCCTAACCGTAACCCTAACCCTAGCCCTAACCTTAACGCTAGCCCTAACCCTAACCCTAACCCAATACCATGTCTTACACCATATCCTCACTCGTGACCCAACCCTAACCCTAGCCCCAGACCTAACCCTAACAATAACCCTAACCCTAACCTCAACCCTAGCCCATAACCCAATAACCCTAGCCCGAACCCTGTAACCCTAGCCTTAACCCTAACCCTGGACTGGCTGCACGGAATATCTGGACCCAGGTGGTCGAAAGACTTAGCGCAGAGCCCACGGAAAACGCCCCTCGACTGCCAAATATGCGTGTGACAATGCCATTTTTCAGTGTCGAGGGGCCGAGCGCGCAGGTCGGACGGCCGTTCCCCTCGACCAGCTGGGCACACGGTCGGTGCAGGCCGTCGAGACAGCCGGCCGTCTTCCTCGACCAGCTCGGCACACGGTCGGTGCAGCCAGGTCGAGCGGCCAAGAGCGCAGGTAGTCCGGTCGTCCCCCTCGACCAGCTGGGCACACGTTAGGTGCAGGCCGTCGAGAGAGCCGGCCGTCTCCCTCGACCAGCTCGGCACACGGTCGGTGCAGGTCGTCGAGACAGCCGTCCGTCTCCCTCGACCAGCTCGGCACACGGTCGGTGCAGCCAGGTCGAGGGGCCAAGAGCGCAGGTAGTCCGGTCGTCCCCCTCGACCAGCTGGGCACACGGTCGGTGCAGCCAAGTCGAGGGGCCAAGAGCGCAGGTAGTCCGGACGTCCCCCTCGACCACCTGGGCACACGTTCGGTGCAGGCCGTCGAGACAGCAGGCGGTCTCCCTCGACCAGCTCGGCACACGGTCGGTGCAGCCAGGTCGAGGGGCCAAGAGCGCAGGTAGTCCGGTCGTCCTCCTCGACCACCTGGGCACACGGTCGGTGCAGGCCGTCGAGAGAGCCGGCCGTCTCCCTCGACCAGCTCGGCACACGGTCGGTGCAGGTCGTCGAGACAGCCGTCCGTCTTCCTCGACCAGCTGGGCACACGGTCGGTGCAGCCAGGTCGAGCGGCCAAGAGCGCAGGTAGTGCGGTCGTCCCCCTCGACAAGCTGGGCACACGGTCGGTGCAGCCTGGTCGAGACAGCCGGCCGTCTCCGTCGACCAGCTCGGCAAACGGTCGGTGCAGGCCGTCGAGACAGCCGTCCGTCTCCCTCGACCAGCTCGGCACACGGTCGGTGCAGCCAGGTCGAGCGGCCAAGAGCGCAGGTAGTCCGGTCGTCCCCCTCGACCAGCTGGGCACACGGTCGGTACAGCCAGGTCGAGGGGCCAAGAGCGCAGTAAGTCAGGTCGTCCCCCTCGACCAGCTGGGCACACGGTCGGTGCAGCCTGGTCGAGACAGCCGGCCGTCTCCCTCGACCAGCTCGGCACACGGTCGGTGCAGGCCGTCGAGACAGCCGTCCGACTCCCTCGACCAGTTCGGCACACGGTCGGTGCAGCCAGGTCGAGCGGCCAAGAGCGCAGGTAGTCCGGTCGTCCCCCTCGACCAGCTGGGCACACGTTAGGTGCAGGCCGTCGAGACAGCCGGCCGTCTCCCTCGACCAGCTGGGCACACGGTCGGTGCAGGCAGGTCGAGGGGCCAAGAGCGCAGGTAGTCCGGTCGTCCCCCTCGACCAGCTGGGCACACGTTAGGTGCAGGCCGTCGAGACAGACGGCCGTCTCCCTCGACCAGCTCAGCACACGGTCGGTGCAGCCAGGTCGAGGGGCCAAGAGCGCAGGTAGTCCGGTCATCCCCCTCGACCAGCTGGGGACACGGTCGGTGCAGCCAGGTCGAGCGGCCAAGAGCGCAGGTAGTGCGGTCGTCCCCCTCGACCAGCTGGGCACACGGTCGGTGCAGCCTGGTCGAGAGAGCCGGCCGTCTCCGTCGACCAGCTCGGCACACGGTCGGTGCAGGCCGTCGAGACAGCCGTCCGTCTCCCTCGACCAGCTCGGCACACGGTCGGTGCAGCCAGGTCGAGGGGCCAAGAGCGCAGGTAGTCCGGTCGTCCCCCTCGACCAGCTGGGCACACGGTCGGTGCAGCCAGGTCGAGGGGCCAAGAGCGCAGTAAGTCAGGTCGTCCCCCTCGACCAGCTGGGCACACGGTCGGTGCAGCCTGGTCGAGGGGCAAAGAGCGCAGGTAGTCCGGTCGTCCTCCTCGACCACCTGGGCACACGTTCGGTGCAGGCCGTCGAGACAGCCGGCCGTCTCCCTCGACCAGCTGGGCACACGGTCGGTGCAGCCAGGTCGAGGGGCCAAGAGCGCAGGTAGTCCGGTCGTCCCCCTCGACCACCTGGGCACACGGTCGGTGCAGGCCGTCGAGAGAGCCGGCCGTCTCCCTCGACCAGCTCGGCACACGGTCGGTGCAGGCCGTCGAGACAGCCGGCCGTCTTCCTCGACCAGCTCGGCACACGCTCCGTGCAGTCATGTCGAGGGACCAAGAGCGCAGTAAGTCCGGTCGTCCCCCTCGACCAGCTGGGCACACTGTCGGTGCAGCCTGGTCGAGACAGCCGGCCGTCTCCCTCGACCAGCTCGGAACACGGTCGGTGCAGGCCGTCGAGACAGCCGTCCGACTCCCTCGACCAGTTCGGCACACGGTCGGTGCAGCCAGGTCGAGGGGGCCAAGATCGCAGTAAGTCCGGTCGTCCCCCTCGACCAGCTGGGCACACGGTCGGTGCAGCCAGGTCGAGGAGCCAAGAGCGCAGGTAGTCCGGTCGTCCCCCTCGACCAGCTGGGCACACGGTCGGTGCAGCCAGGTCGAGCGGCCAAGAGCGCAGGTAGTGCGGTCGTCCCCCTCGACCACCTGGGCACACGGTCGCTGCAGCCTGGTCGAGACAGCCGGCCGTCTCCGTCGACCAGCTCGGCACACGGTCGGTGCAGGCCGTCGAGACAGCCGTCCGTCTCCCTCGACCAGCTCGGCAAACGGTCGGTGCAGCCAGGTCGAGGGGCCAAGAGCGCAGTAAGTCAGGTCGTCCCCCTCGACCAGCTGGGCACACGGTCGGTGCAGCCTGGTCGAGACAGCCGGCCGTCTCCCTCGACCAGCTCGGCACACGGTCGGTGCAGGCCGTCGAGACAGCCGTCCGACTCCCTCGACCAGTTCGGCACACGGTCGGTGCAGCCAGGTCGAGCGGCCAAGAGCGCAGGTAGTCCGGTCGTCCCCCTCGACCAGCTGGGCACACGTTAGGTGCAGGCCGTCGAGACAGCCGGCCGTCTCCCTCGACCAGCTGGGCACACGGTCGGTGCAGGCAGGTCGAGGGGCCAAGAGCGCAGGTAGTCCGGTCGTCCCCCTCGACCAGCTGGGCACACGTTAGGTGCAGGCCGTCGAGACAGACGGCCGTCTCCCTCGACCAGCTCAGCACACGGTCGGTGCAGCCAGGTCGAGGGGCCAAGAGCGCAGGTAGTCCGGTGATCCCCCTCGACCAGCTGGGGACACGGTCGGTGCAGCCAGGTCGAGCGGCCAAGAGCGCAGGTAGTGCGGTCGTCCCCCTCGACCAGCTGGGCACACGGTCGGTGCAGCCTGGTCGAGAGAGCCGGCCGTCTCCGTCGACCAGCTCGGCACACGGTCGGTGCAGGCCGTCGAGACAGCCGTCCGTCTCCCTCGACCAGCTCGGCACACGGTCGGTGCAGCCAGGTCGAGGGGCCAAGAGCGCAGGTAGTCCGGTCGTCCCCCTCGACCAGCTGGGCACACGGTCGGTGCAGCCAGGTCGAGCGGCCAAGAGCGCAGGTAGTGCGGTCGTCCCCCTCGACCACCTGGGCACACGGTCGCTGCAGCCTGGTCGAGAGAACCGACCGTCTCCGTCGACCAGCTCGGCACACGGTCGGTGCAGGCCGTCGAGACAGCCGTCCGTCTCCCTCGACCAGCTAGGCACACGGTCGGTGCAGCCAGGTCGAGGGGCCAAGAGCGCAGGTAGTCCGGTCGTCCCTCTCGACCAGCTGGGCACACGGTCGGTGCAGCCAGGTCGAGGGGCCAAGAGCGCAGTAAGTCAGGTCGTCCCCCTCGACCAGCTGGGCACACGGTCGGTGCAGCCTGGTCGAGACAGCCGGCCGTCTCCCTCGACCAGCTCGGCACACGGTCGGTGCAGGCCGTCGAGACAGCCGTCCGACTCCCTCGACCAGTTCGGAACACGGTCGGTGCAGCCAGGTCGAGCGGCCAAGAGCGCAGGTAGTCCGGTCGTCCCCCTCGACCAGCTGGGCACACGTTAGGTGCAGGCCGTCGAGACAGCCGGCCGTCTCCCTCGACCAGCTGGGCACACGGTCGGTGCAGGCAGGTCGAGGGGCCAAGAGCGCAGGTAGTCCGGTCGTCCCCCTCGACCAGCTGGGCAGACGTTAGGTGCAGGCTGTCGAGACAGACGGCCGTCTCCCTCGACCAGCTCGGCACACGGTCGGTGCAGCCAGGTCGAGGGGCCAAGAGCGCAGGTAGTCCGGTCATCCCCCTCGACCAGCTGGGCACACGGTCGGTGCAGCCAGGTCGAGCGGCCAAGAGCTCAGGTAGTGCGGTCGTCCCCCTCGACCAGCTGGGCACACGGTCGGTGCAGCCTGGTCGAGAGAGCCGGCCGTCTCCGTCGACCAGCTCGGCACACGGTCGGTGCAGGCCGTCGAGACAGCCGTCCGTCTCCCTCGACCAGCTCGGCACACGGTCGGTGCAGCCAGGTCGAGGGGCCAAGAGCACAGGTAGTCCGGTCGTCCCCCTCGACCAGCTGGGCACAC